GTGTGTGTGTGTGTGTGTGTGTGTGTGTGTGTGTGTGTGTGTGTGTGTGTGTGTTTGAAAGAGAGAGAGAGAGCAAAAAACTTGCAATAAACTGAATTTTTAAAGGTAACATTAATTTCAACATTTATATATTCTAGACGAGGGTCAATCATCACATCAACACATCTAGCTTTCAGCTTAAATCAAACTATCCCAACTGTTGAAGAGATTTCAAACACCCTCTTGACAGCAGTGGGAACCGGAGATGTCAATCTATTGAACATAATTCCTCAATCAATTTCAGTCAATGGTTCAGGTAAACTCTATTACTCAGTAGCTTTATAGTCTTCTATTCCTGTAACCTATCTATAACTATAGGTTTATAGAGATATCTAGCTAATTTGCTTATGTTTTTTATTACAGCTTCAGCTACCACTGTCACTCCTGCAGCAACCACAGCAACTATAGCTTCAGGTGGATTAAAGATTGAATCCAGTCTGCTCCAAGCAACATGCCTCATTATTATGTCTAAAATATTAAGGCTTTTCCTATAGATCCCTTAAACATATATCAAACAAATATGAGAGTTCAATAATAAACGCTATAACAAATAATTAAACAACAAATGTATTTATTATTATTACATGGTATACTGGTACAACATTCTTCCCATTGCAGCACACTCTGAAATAATGGTATAGAGTAATATAAAGATACGTTTGATGATGCATTGTTCCTCAAGAATATAATTGCAGATATTTGTTTAACAGCAGGCTGTTCTGGGAGGGAGAAGTGGATCTTTTTCCTCATGCATTTCCAAATGTATGTTTTCAAATGTAAACATTGTAATTGCTGTTTAACTGTTTTGAGGTTAAATACTGGTCATACTTCTTTTTCTTTTTTTATCTAATAATTTCTAACTTTGCAATGTCATATTGTATTTTAATTAAATAAAAATATTTTAATCATGACAACTCTCTGAAAATTTTAGCATGGTGATGACCAAGTCATTTAACTATCTGAATATCATCAATTACGTTAACAACCCATCAGCCTGCGCCATCTAGAGTTTCATGACTAAACTATATATTTTAATCATGACAACTCTCTGAAAATTTTAGCATGGTGATGGATATGACAATGTTAATGTATTTGGTCTTGGCGGAACAGATCTGCTACGCTGCTGCTGAATTGCTGCTGCTGTTTGTTATTGCTGTAGTTGTAGATTATTGCTGCTGCTGCAAGCAAGTACAGGAACTTGCTACTGCCAATGCATATGGCGATACGGTGCCATGAGTATTTTACAGTTTCTACAGCATCTACAGAGTCTACAGCTTCTATAACATCTACAGAGTCTACAGCCTCTATAGCATCTACAGAGTCTACAGCATCTACAGAATCGACAGCTTCTACAGCATCTACAGAGTCGACAGCATCTACAGAGTCTACAGCTTCTACAGAGTCTACAGCTTCTATAACATCTACAGAGTCGACAGCGTCTACAGCATCTACAGAGTCTACAGCTTCTACAGCATCTACAGAATCGACAGCTTCTACAGCATCTACAGAGTCTACAGCTTCTACAGCATCTACAGAGTCTACAGCATCTACAGAATCAACAGCTTCTACAGCATCTACAGAGTCTACAGCGTCTTCAGCATCTACAGAGTCTACAGCATCTACAGCATCTACAGAGTCTACAGCTTATATAACATCTACAACATCTACAGCATCTACAGAGTCTACAGCTTCTACAGCATCTACAGAGTCGACAGCATCTACAGAGTCTACAGCTTCTACAGCATCTACAGAGTCTACAGCTTCTACAGCATCTACAGAGTCTACAGCTTCTACAGCATCTACAGAGTCTACAGCTTCTACAGCATCTACAGAGTCTACAGCTTCTACAGCATCTACAGAGTCTACAGCTTCTACAGCATCTACAGAGTCTACAGCTTCTACAGAATCTACAGAGTAGACAGTGTCTACAGCATCTACAGAGTCTACAGCTTCTACAACTTCTACAGAGTCTACAGCTTCTATAACATCTACAAAGTCGACAGCGTCTACAGCATCTACAGAGTCTACAGCTTCTACAGCATCAACAGAATCGACAGCTTCTACAGCATCTACGGAGTCTACAGCTTCTACAGCATCTACAGAGTCTACAGCTTCTACGGCGTCAACAGCTTCTACAGAGTCTACAGCTTCTATAACATCTACAGTCTACAGCTTCTACGGAGTCTACAGTTTCTACAGCTTCTACAGAGTCTACAGTTTCTATAACATCTACAGAATCTACAGGATCTACAGTTTCTACAGCTTCTACAACATCTACAGCATCTACGGAGTCTACAGCTTCTACAGAGTCTACAGTTTCTACAGCTTCTACAGAGTCTACAGCATCTACAGAGTCTACAGTCTCTACATCTTCTACATCATCTACAGCATCTACAGAGTCTACAGCTTATATAACATCTACAACATCTACAGCATCTACAGAGTCTACAGCTTCTACAGCATGTATAGAGTCTACAACATCTACAGTATCTACATCTTCCACAGCAACTACTTCAAAAATAGTACCTGAGGTGCTAACAGATCTGGAGTTTCACTCTTTTGACAGATTTATAAATGCACTCAATTATTCAAACTCTGCAGAGTTCAAGAGTAGGGCTAAGCTAGTCAGGGATGAGGTGAGTTAAAATCCATTTATTGTATTTACTGGAAACTGATGATGCTTTTTTTGGTTTTTAAACATATAGTTAACAAAAGATACAACAATTATGTAACAAAGACTCAGATATTACCCTATTTTAAGTGATGTCTCTAATAGTTTGTTATCTGTTATCTTGAGGCAGTCTATAGACCAAAGTATGCTAACTTCCTCAAAGTGATTGTTCTAGGATTCAGGTTAATATAGTATATTGCAATGCTGCTTGTTTTATGTATGCTTACCCAGGGAATGTGGTGGTACGAGTATATACAGACGTCACTGTCTACACACCACATAAAACAAGAATCAGTGGCCCCTACAAAATTGTAAGAAAATGCAACCATGTAATAATATAGAACATTATAAAACTTGCCTTAAATAATACAGGCTCTAAACAGAAGTGACAAAAAAGCCAAGAATATACTTATTCTGTGACATATCAGCAAACAACATGAATATCAATTTTACACAACAATAAAAATTTAAGAACTAACAAAACACACTCACAACAATAATGTATCTTTACTAAATTTTATTTATACCACATGTAGCATATTTTAGGTTACCTGACATTTTTTACAGTGTTATGTTTTCTCAACCAGCACACACAGAGTTTGCTACATGTTTCACAGCCTGAATTAAAATCCATACAACTACAGCTACCTAGAGCATTAACAACAGCTCCTCCTATTTTTACAGTAAGCAAACTACTCCAGTTACTCTTCAGCTTCAACCGTCATCGTACTGCTAAGGTGTCAAGTTTTCAGATCTGCATTCTTCTACATGTTTATCAGTTTTGAGTCTCACTACATTTCAGAATCAGAATCAAAAAGAGCTTTATTGCCAAGTATGTTTGCACATACAAGGAATTTGTTATAGTGTCACAAGCTTCCAGTACACGGAGACAACAACAACACACAGATAATACAATTCTTTTTTTTTACAATTTACAGTTTAAGGCAACTGTAGCCATAATATTCTACAAATAAATAACTGAATAAGGTCTTACCGACACTTACTGTGACTAACTCCAACAAATCCAACAGTTTTAAGACATCTATCCAACATCACCTAACCCATGATTCTAAATGACAACATACTGTACGTATAACAGACTCATTTAACAAACCAGTATCACACCCATATTACATCAAAACCAGCCCAATATCTCACAAAAGAGAAATATTCAAAACCCAGCCTCCCATATTGTTCATCCTTTGTGCTTAGTTTTGGGTGTTGCTCAGTAAAGCAAAACAACACCCCACAACAACTCTGGCTCACCTGTTCTGCTTTTAAAATCTATATTTATCTAAAGCAATATTACAATTACAAATACGTAACATCCTTTATTAGGTCGTAACAGCATTTAAAATGGTTGTTAAAAGGCACTGGTAGTATCCACATGGCACAACTCAAGACAAATATTGTCATTGTGAGTAAACTTCTAGTATGCTAAGTATAACAATTGACAAAAAAAATCATATAATTAATTCATTTTGAAGGGATATCGAATTGTATTTTCTTAGACAATCTATTTTCTATCGCAATAATAAGCCTGGTAGCAACAAAGAATTCAATATGTGAGCCAAATTCTTACAATTTTATAATTCTATTAAACCATCTTGTATCAATGCAAACAAATCCATATTGTTTTGTATAAATTCATACAAAATTCATTTTGTATCAAATAAACATTTAGCCTGGAAGAAAAGGTAAGTTATTCAACATTATAGAGAATTACGTACATTACACTACATTATGCATCACTTTGCATATTTATGTTTAGTATATCCTCATTTTCAGTGCTTTTTGTTCCCTACAAAATGTTGCCTGCTAAATTATTTAATTGTATGGGTGTTCTTTTACCTAAATTCCTATTTCTCTGTAGCTAACTGGACTGCTAATAACCACCTAGCTAGGTATTTTACCCATGGTATATATATTTAGTAAATAGCTAACAAATTTCTCATTGTGCCCTAGTTTTGTACCCAAAAGTCAAAGAATTGAGAACCCCCTCAAAAGCTCCCTAAATTAGCATAAGTAACATAAGTAAAAACGAACTTATACAACAATTATAATGTGAAAAGGAACTCAAATCTCACCTTCAGGCCTAAAGCTCTAAATGCCAAAGTATGATTGTGGCATTTATTCGAGAGCAGAATTAGCTATTGTATCATACTGTATTTGGTATGTGAATGATGGACACAATATTACACCCATTTTATTTTAAAACCAGTACAGCATCTTTGCATTTTACATCTCTGCAATGAGTTTTAGGGAGGCTCTTGAATTGTTGTTGAACAATTGTCTTGAAAAGTCTGATACAATGGGGACAACACCCTGACTTTCACTTGCACACTGAACCCAGCAGAAAACACCCTAGAGCAGTGATTCTGGTTTTGTTTTGGGACCCAGATTTTAGATGAGACATCAAGAGGTGATCAAGCACACTACCACAATTGCGTAAAAAAAAAAAAGAATTTACCTTTAAAGGAAACTCTGAAATGTGTTAATCAATATGATATTAAACAATGTAATAATGAAAATATTGGACAATTAAAAACAATAACGACAATAACTCGCCACACAACAACGTGACACAGGCTTTAACCACTTTTTTAAAAATGTATGTTTATGTTGATGTTATAAATATATGATTTTATGGATAATTGCTTTTTTTTAAATTAGCATTGTTTATTGAACATAGGAGGTATTGCACGGGGTATGGAGCAACCGAGAATATTGTATAGGCCCTGACTTGAAAAAAATCTGCTGTGACATATTAAATAAAAATGGGTCCGGTACATATCATATTTCACAATTTATGCCATTCCTGTTGAAGTGATTTGGTTGAATTATTTTGAAATGATCAGGAGATGTAATGATGGAGTGATTATGTTAAGAAAAGAGCCAAAAAGCAGTTCCACTCCATATTTAAAAAAAGAAGATAAATAGTTGTATAACTTAACAAATTTAATTGTTAATTTCTTTATTATCACCTGTAAAGACACCATCCCCCAGCACCATGGAGAATCAACTGGCTTATGATTTGAATGAGTTTTATTCCAGGTTTGAAAAACCCTGTCTCACACCCATGTTGACCTTCATGGATCCATTAAGACCTCCAGCAACCCCCTCTCCCCCCTCCTGCACTTCAGGTCTGTGAAAAGGATG